GACCTTCAGCATTTTCATTTTGATTCGAATTTGAAACAGTGAGACTGAACAATTCGTGTAACCATCTAATAAATCTCCTATGACTCTAATGTACTTCTAGTACGGTATATGGATGTGTCATTTTGGCTTCTAGTGTCATTCACTTGTTTAGCCTATATGGCAACTGTGCCGACAAAAAATTGCTTTGTTTTTTTTTACTTTGTTTTCAGTTCACTATCGTTACGTTATTTCTACCTCGTATCATGCGGTTCTTTGTTGATTTTTGAGAGCGCGCCTATATGCATATGAAATAAGTAAATAAATAAATAAATAAATAAATAGATAAATAAATTACTGACTATGTGCTATTTGCTGACCAGCTGGCTATAAAAATCGCGCCTCTTGGTATACACCCATGACCCACGAAGGAGGCTAAAGCAAGGATGTTATCAATATGCGAGCTATATTTCTTCAAACAATGAGATGACAGATAGTGTATTTGCAACCCATGATCGTGACTGCGACATTTGAACTTGCAAGTGTTTTGTTGCGCAGGTTAGCATCAGTAGTGTGCATTGCCGTTTTTCAGTGTCCACAATTCGGTGGCGTTTTTGTTTGCAGCTGTGCACAAGCACTAGAAATCGTGCTGTCTAACCACAGCCTGCGAATGCCAAGCTCCGCTAAACCAGCCAGCGTTTGTACAGCTTTGCTGGGGAAGCAAACATAATCCACCTTTTTTGACACCAAGGATTCATAAAACCAACGTAATAGTTTAGCACGAGTAGGTGAAATGGTATCTATAATCGTCATTTAGGCCCCTTTATTCTAGCATCTCTTAATCAAATGCGTTTTAGGTAATCAATTTTCGGGTGAATTCGAGTCCCACATTCGACGGGTTATTCGCCTTTTATGGCACTGTTGTGGACATCTGGCATCAAAACACTGGGATGAGCTAGGTGAGTTGCACTGTTTCTCAAGGTATACTAAAACATCAGCAGCTTTCAATCTACTCAACAAAAAACGACAACGAAGTAGCTTGCTGTTTTGGGCTAACAATTATTTTATCAGCTGTATACTAAAACATTAGCTTTCAAGCTACTCAACAAAAAACCACAACGAAGTAGCTTGCAGTTTTGGGCTAACAATGATTTTATCAGCTGTTTACTAAAACATCAGAAGCTAGCTACTCAACAAAAGCGACAACGAAGTATCTTGCAGTTTTGGGCTAACACAATGATTTTATCAGCTATGTTGAAGGTCAACTTGAACTGCGACCCCAGTGCGCCTTAGTGATGGCTCATCTTTCGAAACTCAGCAAAACTTTCGCGCTTCTCGACAGTAAGGATCAGCAACTCATCAATAACATGGTGCAGACGGTGAGGATTTGGCTAGGTTCTGACCGGCGTTTAGCTAAACCAGCTGCTGCAGATCCGTCCATCAAATGTGACTTCGTCTGGCCGCGGCGACGATGGAAGCAGCGCAGTCACGCAACGATGGAGTCGTGTGCCGTCGTCCAAAAGCGGGAGCTGGGGCGGTCATCCCACACCCGCTGTACTTACGTGTAAACCCTACGCACAAACCTGCTAGCTGCCCTCCTCTCTTACCTTATTCACCTCCTCTTTCTCGGTTCCGTTGAAGCGGCGTACAGCATCGATTGCGCCGATCGTTTGAACGCGGGTGCGCCGTGGTGTATATGAGGTCTCGCGTCCGTTCTTGTATCGCGTTCCAATTATCACCGTCTCGAATTGTATTGTCTGTTTGCTTGTGAACCAGTTGTGTTTTTCGTTTCTCGTTCCCCATACTTGGGTATTTGAAAAAGGATCAATTGCCTCAAGAGTTGTGATCGTCACAAGTGTTCTAGTGTTCCATCTACCTGTGAAAGCTATAGTTGTCATAGCACGTTTGTATTTTCGATGTAAATGTACGTGAAGATTTCATCTGGTCCATTTTCTCTAAATATGTATTATATTCATGACCGGACACGAGTTGTTCCAAAGCTTATTCTTTGTATGCGCCTCCTGACTCACTTGACTGTATATATCCGGATATACATGTTTCTTGTGCATACAGAGCGAGTTGATTGTGTTTCAGGCGCAAAATCTCGGTGGATTATCGGTTTTAATAAAAGTGTTTTTGTGGGTTTACATCTATGCAAATGATACGGAGTAAACATTGTTGGGTACATTCTTCGCTGAATGTACAAAGAAAATCAGATTGGTTGGGTCATTGCGTTAAAGTGAAATTTTCGTAAAGAGCTGCAACATGTAAGACATCTGTCGTGTACTGCTTCAAAAAGGGCGTATCGACGAGGGTGCCCTATAATGAGTTTTGATAGAGAAATCCGGAGCGCATTAGTGCATTTTGTTTGTACTATGACGTAACTGTTCCGAGAAGGAAAATGGTATGTTTGGCTTCGCATTCTTATAAATCGAGTCCGGTCTAATATTACGACGTTTGGAAGTCAAATTCTTTGACTCACGATCAGGAAATGCGGGGTATGCGCATGTGATCAAACGACCGAAGAATGCTTGGTGAAATTAGTCTCGAAATAGCCTAGAATCTCAAAATGATCAGTGTTCGTACTATTAACGTGGTTCAGCATCAAGTGGAGATGTTTTGATCAGGAAGATGAATGAAGAGAATGCGACAGTTTGAAACTAGCAGAATTCAAGCGCGCGAAGGAAGACGAGATATAACAGCATTCATGTTAAGACAGAGTGATTGTATGTGCTCGCAGTTCAGTGCTTGTATTGTACAATACCGCTCGTAATTTGTGAAAAAAATCGGCGGC